TCATCGGCCCCCGGTAAGATAGTTTTCACGGTTCCTACTTGCCAGAGCGCTCGTGGGGTCTGCTGATCAACAATGAGAACCACAGATCCAACTGCAATGTTGTCTGTGTCCTTGTGCCATTTCTGCCGTGGTTGCAAGGTGGGCATAAAATGCCGTATGAAGTGCTTCCAGAATTGGTCAGCCAGGACTTGAGTGTGTCTCCACCTCTTACGACTGAGCAGCTCGGATTCTGGATAGAACACTTGAAGCAGAGCTAATTAGCAAACAAATCTGTTATGCTAGCGAACTGCCACTTGTACATAACGTCACTTAAACAGAAGCAGAAACTGCTGGTAAGTCATCAAATACACTCATGGCTGAACACCAACATAACTGAGTGAAGTAAAACATTAACTTACGGTCTTATGAACGCACACACTGTCCGTTGTTCGGCTGCCGTTTGTCTCTGAACTAAAGTTGCGGACATGCACCCCGATGGTGCATTCAGGGGGCATAGGAAATCCCATACACAAACCTAACCCTTTTGTACAGATGCAATAGGAGTAAGTCACCGCATCATTGTAAAGCAAGTGACCCCTGAACCCAAAGTAACAAGTAAGTTGAAGAGCAAAGTTCATTATGTTTGCAAAACAAGAATTAAGGAGATGACTGCTCCAGAAGACATACTTAAGGTGCTGGAATCTGACTTCAGTGAAAGGCTTGGAGAAGAGACAAATCTCTCGCAAGAAGATCTCCGGTTTTTGACTAAAATGAAAGAAGAAATTAAGCACAAAGAAGACGGACATCTTGAAATGCCTCTGCCTTTTAAACAGAGCAGGCCAGAGCTACCAAATAACAAGCCAAGTGCTGTTCAACGCCTCATGTGCTTGGAAAAGAAGCTCAAGAGAGACCAGAAATATCGGACAGACTACATGAACTTCATGGAAGACATTATCAGTCGTGGTGAAGCAGAAAAGGTCCCAGAAAAAGAGCTTGATAAACGATCAGCTTGGTATATTCCCCACCATGGCGTATACCACCCTCAAAAGCCAGAGAAACTGCGAGTGGTCTTTGATTGTTCGGCAAGATTTCAAGACATGTCATTGAATGACTACCTTCTTACAGGGCCAGAGCTCACAAACACCTTGGTGGGAGTTCTTTGTAGATTTCGAAAGGGCCCAGTCGCTATTATGTGTGATGTGGAACGAATGTTTCATCAATTCCATGTAAAGCCTGAAGACCAAGACTACTTGAGGTTCTTATGGTGGGAGAATGGTGATCTTGAGTCTCCGCCATCAGTTTTTCGGATGAAAGTCCATTTGTTTGGAGCAGCTTCCTCACCTGGCTGTGCCAATTTTGGACTTAAACATCTAGCCACAGAAGGTCAAGATCGATTTAACCAAAGCACTGTCAAGTTCATCCGAAGAAATTTTTATGTTGATGATGGACTGGTGAGTGTAAGGTCTGATGCTGAGGCAATCAAGCTGATCAAGGAAGCAAGAGAGCTTTGCAGCACAGGCAAGCTTAGACTACACAAGTTCATTTCCAACAGCAAGAAGGTATTGGAGTCAATACCAAAGGAAGAGTGTGCAGACAGTGTCAAAGAACTGGACATAGATTTAGGGGAGCCACTCCTAGAAAGAGCACTGGGCGTGCAATGGTGCGTATCCTCTGATGACTTTCAGTTCAGAGTAACTGTCAAGAAACACCCAATGACGAGAAGGGGAGTGCTATCCACAGTAGCTTCCATCTACGATCCTTTGGGTTTCGTAGCACCGTTTGTTTTACGTGGGAAGTTGATCTTGCAACAGTTGAGTCGAGAGAAAGCTAGTTGGGATGAACCACTTTCAGAGGAGTGCAGATCACAGTGGCAGTCATGGTTACAAGATCTCCATAACTTGTGTCAAGTAAAGATTAAGAGGTGCTACATACCAGCAAGCTTCATAGATGTCAAGCAGTACGAGTTACATCACTTCTCAGATGCTAGCTTCACAGGTTTCATGTTTTCATGGCAAATAGGATCCAGAGAATCAAAGCCACCACAGATGTCAACCAATGGTATCATGTGCAGTCCGAAGACAATCCGGCGGACCATGCTTCGAGAGGGTTATCGGCAGATCGGCTCGTTGCTTCAAATTGGTTCACTGGCCCAGACTTTCTGTGGGAAAGGGAGCTACCCACAAGAGATGCTAAGGTGGGAGAGGTTAGTGATAATGATCCAGAACTTCGAAGGGCTCAGGTGCTCAACACCAGCGCAAGGATAAATAGAACATTGTTGGACCGCCTGACTAAGTTTTCTGACTGGAAAAGAGTTGTTAAGGCTATTGCTTGTCTTAAACGTCATGCTAAGCAAGTTAAGGGTCTTAGTCCCAAACTCAATGGAAGTACAAGTGTTGAGGAAAGACAACAAGCTGAACTTTTCCTAATCAGATTGGTCCAAACAGAAGTATTCAGCAGTGAAATCAAGAATTTACAGCAATCCAAGGACGTAAAATCCAAAGACAAAGCAAACAAGCTATGCAAATTAAGTCCATTTTTGGATGAGCAGAGTGTGCTGAGAGTAGGCGGACGCTTAACAAGAAGTGATCTTCATACACATGTTAAACATCCTGCTATTCTGCCAAAAACAAGTCACGTGTCTTCTTTATTGATCAAGCATTATCATGAGAAAGTACAGCATCAAGGAAGAGGTATGACTGTAAATGAGTTGCGATCTAATGGGATATGGGTCATTGGATGCAGCAGTGCAGTTGCCTCACATATCTTTAAGTGCGTCACATGCAGGAAGTATAGAAGGAACACACAAGATCCAAAAAGGACAGAATGGAAATGACCCCTCCATTCACATATTGTGGCATAGATTGCTTTGGACCATTCTATATGAGGGATGCAAGAAAGGAACTGAAGAAGTATGGTCTTCTCTTCACTTGTATGTGTTGCAGAGCTGTACATATCGAAATGCTTGATGACCTCAGTTCAGATGCCTTCATCAATGCATTGCGCGTATTCATTGCAATACGTGGGAATGTAAGGCAGTTGAGATGTGATCAAGGTACCAACTTTGTGGGTGCAAAAAGAGAGTTCATGGACTCAATGAAGAACTGGGATCATGAGCAGGTGAAGGAATATGGCTGTGAGTTTGTAATGAATCCCCCATCATCAAGCCATATGGGAGGAATTTGGGAGAGGCAAATAAGGACAATCAGAAGTGTTCTAACAGCAATTCTTGATCAGTCTGCTAAAAGACTTGACACCGCCTCACTTAGGACTTTTTTGTATGAAGTGATGGCTATTATAAATAGCAGACCGCTGACAACAGAGCACCTGAATGATCCAACAAGTCTTGAACCGCTCACACCAAATCACATTCTTCTGATGAAGTCTAACATCATATTGCCACCTCCGGGTCAGTTCGTGAGTCAAGATTTATACCTGCGTAAGAGATGGCGTCAGGTGCAGTTCTTGGCGAATGAGTTTTGGACAAGGTGGAGGAGGGAGTACCTTCTTAATCTCCAGCAAAGACAGATATGGCATGGGGATAAAAGGAACACCAATGTCAATGACATTGTTATTCTTCAAGAGGACAGTGCTCCGCGAAATCACTGGAGACTAGCAAGAGTCACGGAGGTGTACCCCAGCTCTGATGGAAGGGTCAGAAAGGTAAAGCTGTTGGTTAGTGACTCAACTTTGGACAAACAGGGAAAACGCACAACTAGGCCAGTTTATCTTGAAAGGCCAGTGCAAAAAATAGTACTACTTGTTGAAGCAGAATAAGCATGTGTTAAACTGTTGTAAATGCTTATAACTTCAGGATTCAAATCTGTAAGGAAATCTCAAATTGAGATTGGGTGGGAGTTTAACTGCCATAAATGTAAATTATGTCAAAAGCTGTTTTAAAGTAAAAGAAAGCTGCAAAGAAGAAGAAATTGGGAATTATTTTTGTTAAGTTTTGTTCCTGAAGCGGACTCATTCCCTCACGGTTACGTGCAGCCAGCGAGGTACGTTAACTGTGTTTGTTTATCGCGTATTTGTTAACTTGGGTTTAAATGTTTATTTGTAATATTTATGTTGGTCATTCTGTACTTTTATGTAATAACAGTTTGACGGTGGATTTTATGGTGTTTCTGAGGAGAAGTTTGACGGAAGAATAAATCCATCAGTGAATGAAGAACCGTGGTGTCGTGTATTAACTGGAGGGATACTTGTTTGTTTTGATGTGTGTGAATAAACACCAGGGCCCTGTTTCAGGAAGCCGGTTTAGTGGAAAAACTGAGTAAGTATACCCTGAGTTAACGAAAACGCTGGTTTTTCGGTTTCACAAAGCGAGTTCAGCTGCAGCCTGAGTGAGTCACTATGACGACACACGCCGTGAAGCTAACCTGCCCCCTAGCAGGTTTACCACAACTAACCCTGACTGACCCCGCCCCTTTGTCGGAAACCTGACAGTAGGAAGTGTCAGACATGGCGTGTCCCTTCCGTGAAGAGCCGGTAGATCGTGAAGCCCAAATTCTCCGCAGAGCTCTCCGCCGGGAGAGAGTGATCAGATCGCGTTTGGACATTTTATCATTTCCTGATGAGTTTCTGTGTGAACGTTACCGTTTCTCAGCACAATCTATAAGTTATTTGACTAACATCCTCAGGCCATATATTACGCATGTGACATCGCGGACATGCTCTCAGTTCATTACATATTATTTGTATCGCACTTCGGTTTTTTGCAAACGGGAGCTTTCTGTATAATATTGGTGACGCTGAGCACGTTTCCAAGGCTACCGTCTGTCGGGCAGTCAGGAATGTTACAGTTGCACTGAAACGTCTCCTGTACTCGTCTGTGGTGTTCCCCGGTCATAGACCCACAAGATTTATCAAAGAGGGATGCCACAAAATTGCAGGTAGCAGGATGAACAAAACTCAATTCATGATGTGGTGATACTTGAACTACTACTTAAATTTTACATTTATTTTCAGGGTTCCCAGGCGTGATTGGCTGTACAGATGGCACTCACATTCCAATCATTGCTCCTTCAGTAAATGAAGGAGACTATGTGAACAGGAAGTCTTTCCACAGCATTAATGTACAGGTACATAGTTCCCTGTAGCATTTCAAACTAACAAATTATTTCATTATAGTAATGGATGCTAATTTGTGTTCTCTGCACTGTGAAGATCATATATGATGCTGCCAACATTATCACAAATGTGGAAGCCAAGTGGCCAGGCTCTGTCCATGACTCACAAATATTCCGTGAATGTACACTGAGCACAAAATTTGGACATGGTGAGTTGAGAATACTTTAAAATATATAAAGACCAATTGCTTCAGGGACATTTGAACTGAAGTGTATCCTTCTGTCTTAGGAGAGTTCACTGGCTACTTGCTTGGTGATAGGGGGTATCCATGTTTACCCTATTTGCTTACCCCTTACCCTGACCCTGAACCGGGCCCACAGCAGCGATATAATCTGGCTAATTGCAGGACAAGAGCCAGAATTGAAATGACTATCGGAATGCTTAAGGCCCGGTTCCAGTGCCTGCAAGGACTCAGGGTCACCCCAGAAAGGGCATGTGACATTATTGTGGCATGTGTGATTCTTCACAACATTGCCACAATTAGAGGAGAACACTGTCCTTCTGAACCAAACATCAGCAGTGATCCAAACCATGAACATCCTGACCCTCCCACGGACATACAAGATGGAAGCGCAGTCAGAGACACCATATGTCACAATCATTTCTTTTGACCCATCACCTCAACATGTTGAAAGAAGAATAAACAGATTTTATGTTCAACTGGCTTTATTGGTCACCTGTGTTTCCTGTACACAAAGTATTAAAAGATGTAAACCTCATAAAGTGTCTCTGTTGCTTCCTCCTCTGTAACAGCTGTCAATGTTTCTTCATTATTTTCCTGTAGTAAAGAAATAAACAACATTGCTGTTCTACTGTAAACTCATATAATCTGTGGAGTATTACTCACAACTGCATGTTGGTCTGGCTCAACAGGAGGCTGCACCAGATGCAGTACACCACCACCATCAACTGATAGAATATGAGGTTTATACAGGTCACTTATAACTTACAAGGGACCAAATGGCAATTAACAAACATACCTATCACCTTACACTTCATTGTCATTATGCTCTCAAAGACAACCAAGACTGAGGGAAGGCAAAATCAGTAGGAAAATGACTTCACTACAAAATAATCCATTATGGTAAAGAGTTTATCAAATGAATGAGTAGCACTGCAAAGGTGACTGTGAAGAAAGGATGTATGCACATCATGTATTATTTTGAATTTACCCCCTATGTAGGCACTTGTGTCTTGCGGGGTTATTGACTCAGAGGATGTCCCCGCAGAGATGCCTTCGGCCACAGGGCGCCCACTGTTTTGGCTGAGGGCCAACTGCTCAGCCTCTGTGAGTGGTGGTGGTGGAGGACCCCCACCTGTTTTTCGGGCCTCCGCTTTTTTTCTGTTGGCTATAACGGGTCACATTTGAGCATACAGAGTAAGCAAATATGTACTTGTAATGTGCTCAGATAATTTCAATAAGTGCTTACAGAAAGAAAATTAATGTAGCCTCTAACTGCAATTGATTTACATAGGACAAACAGACCAAGCACTATGGCTCATAATACAATTACACCTCACCTGTTTGGACTATATTTTTATATTTCATTTTTACTTGCTGCCAGGAACGTTTGGGGCCTGTTGGGTTGCACCTGCGCTCACATCACATCACAAAATAAAATGTATGAAATATAAAATAAAATAACATATGATAAAATAACATATGATAAAATAACATATGATAAAATAACGTGTTAAATGGGTGGAAATCCCTAGATCAATGTTTAAATTAACACTCACGCATTGACTCTGTCGGCTATGTTTTGCCATGCATGCTCCCTGTCTTTTGCAGCTATGGCTAACTTTACTTTTTTCCGCGGAATTTGCATGTTATCGGCATATGCTGCCATCAGAATTTCGGCCTCAAGCGCTGTAAAATACATTGACCGCGCCTTCTTTCCCTCCGTCTCCATGGTGACTCGCTTAATCTGTGCTCCGCTTATCAGGGCTTTATGTATCCTCGTCCGCGCGCTTCACTTGGGGTTAGCGCGACTCCGCGTTGATTGAACTAATTGTTATCAGCCTTTCTGAAACCGAATATTCCGAGTTGGACAGTTCGGGGTTACTCAACCGTGAGTGTCGTTTTTCACTCTGAGTTTTCCAAACCGGCTTCCTGAAACAGGGCCCAGTACCTGAACTTTGGATCCCTCTTTGTTTACGGACCTATGACAAAAGTATGACCTCAAACTGACATAGCCTACCTTTTGCACAGAGGAAGCAAAAGCCAGATGTGTTTTCTATTCATACCATCAGTGTGTAGTTAGTGCATTGTGTGCTTTTTAATGTGATGACTTGTGTTAACTGTTTGAAAAAAAAAATACAATTTTTTACAAAGGTTTGGAGAGTTAAGCAAGGTTCATTAGCTTTTTGCAAGAAAACTACAATGTTTTGCTGATTTGGTGAAGGGTTTTCTTATTTGTGTGTAGAGTTTTGCAAAAATAGCCAATAGCTACAAAGATGTGTTTAAGCCATCAGAAAAAAAACTGTAATACCAGAGGGAAATTCATATGTCTGACATAGCTCATCTGTTATTTGTTTAAGAATTAAAAAGAGTGCAAATTGTATTCTGTATATCTTTGTTTACAACAGAGGGAGATGAGTCATCCAGTACTGATGTTTTTTTGTTCCATACAGATGTTGTAAAGTGGGTGATTAGAGTTACTCAGGGTGGCTTCTAACGTCATTAGTGTGCAGCAGACTAGAAGAGCACACTTGCCACCACAGACCGATGGAACATCTGTAGCATTTTACTGCAGATGTCAAGAGATCCTAGTTTCCTAAACAAAAGGATTCAAAGGAAAGCAAATTTCTGCAAACAGGGTTTGTAACAGGTTGTGGTCTGATCTTCCAAGTGGTGGTAAGGGAGTAGCTATGTAAGCAACATTAACATGGGCATACAGCAGGGTTTTATTTTCTCTGGTAGGACAGGAAACACATTGTGTGAATCCAGTCAGGTGAGAGGAGAGGGAAACATGAGTGAAGTCTTCTTATAACCGGTGCCTCGGGCAGTGTCTGTATCCTTGCAACAGTTTAATGGAGAACTTCACATGGGCCCTTGGCTGTTGCTTTGGGTACAATGTGCACAAGTATTGTTAAGATATGACTGGTACATAATATGGTCTCATACCAGCTGCCAATAATTCAGTATCAGAACAACATATTTTCTCCTTGACAGTGATAAGTGCACTATTATACCATCTCTGGTTCACAAATAAAGCCACACCCCCACGTTTTTTCTTGCCAGTAGCTTCAGCATATCTGTATGGGCAGAAATCTGTGCCATCAGAAACAGAATTTGAATAAGTTAAATTTGAATTGCTCGGATTGAATCTGAATTGTAACTTGAATAAATGCTTATAAATTAGCCTAATTTGAAATTCAATTTATTGGTTTGAAAATGATCATCACTAAATTGAAATTGAATTTTATATTTTGAAAATGAATTCATTTGCTTTGAAACTGTACTTTACCCTTTAAAAATTTAGTTCTCGAATAAGTTCAGATTCACTTCTCACCATTCAGTTTCAGTTCCAAAATTCAGTTTTTTGGGACTTACATCCGGTTCCGGTTCAAGAGTAATCGAGCACAGATTAATAGAACTACCTTTTACTAGCAGACCAAAAGTGTTACTGACGGGAATCTACAGCATCTTGAGCTGAATTAAAACTTCAGAAGTCATTCGTCATGTCAAATGACCAGCCAATAAACTCTCAGGTTGGTAATAAATGTATTACATGTATAAGAACAAGCGTAACAAATGATAGCCATACAGTAACTTTTATGCTTATTGTAGCTGTTAGCAAAGCAAAGCAACTGCTCAAAGAACACTTTGGAAATGAATATAAAGTTGCAGCTGCGTATATTGAAAAGGCATTATCCTGGCCTGCAATTAAAAATGAAGATGTGAAATCATTGCAAGCATATTCTCTTTTCTTACGTGGGAGTTGTAATGTCATGAAAACATTGCAATATATGCAGGAACTGGACATGCCAATGAACATGAAAATCATTTTGTGCAAATTGCCATATAAAATGAGAGAGAAATGGGGACCCTGTGCATATGATATATTGGAAATTTCTAAACACAGAGCTCGGTTTCAAGATTTGGTTGCATTTATTGAGAAGCAGGTGAAAATCCTTTCAGATCCTTTATTTGAGGACATTCAGAACATAAGGTCGACGATCCCTGTCTCAAAGGTTGACAACAGACTGAAGTCACAACCAATCAAACAAGGTAAAGGGAACAGCTTTGCTGCTACAGTCTCACCCAAGGACATGGATAAAACCTATAGCATGGAAAGGCTGATTACCACAGCGACCCATGACTTTACAGTAAAGCCATCTTGTGTCTGCTGTACTCAACGGCACACAATGGAGGAGTGTCAACAGTTTCAGCGGAAGAAGCACAGAGACAGAATGCTTTTTCTAAAGGAGAAAGGGCTGTGTTTTGGTTGCTTAGGTGCTGGGAACATAAGTAAGGACTGTGCTAAGCATTTGACATGTAGGACATGTGCTAAAGGTCATCCCACTGTCCTCCATATTGATAACAATGGTGTAAGTCCAGAATCCTCTGGAGAACCCTCCTCTTCAAAGAATGTAACTCCTATGAAAACTTGTGGTCATACAGGGGCCGGAAGAGACAGCAGTTTGCTTTCCATTCTGCCAGTTCAAATAAAGTCTTTTAAAGGTAGTCATGTCATACAGACGTATGCTTTTTTAGATCCTGGCAGTTCAGCTAGCTTCTGTTTAGAGCACCTCACGCAAAAGCTAAATCTTGTGGGCAGAAAAACTAACTTTTTGATACAAATGATGGGTCAATAAAAGGTTGTCTCTGCCCACTCACTTACTGGTCTTGAAGTTTCTGGTTTGGGCAGCAATGCCTTCTATGAACTTCTAGAAGTCCTAACAGGAAAAGATGCCTGTCACCATAGATAACCTTGTAAAAGAAGAAGATCTGGTCAGGTGGCCATAACTGTCAAAGGTTCAAATTCCCCACATAATGGCTAATGTGGACTTGCTGATTGGATGCAATGCTCCCAAGTTATTGGAACCATGGGAGGTCATTCATAGCCAGGGGAATGGCCCATATGCTATAAGAACAGCATTTGGTTGGGTCCTAAATGGGCCCATTGAAGATGGTAAAAGCAACTTGGACAGCGAGTACCCATCAACAGTTGTAAATAGGATATCTGTTTTTAAGCTGGAGGAAATGTTGAAAAGTCAGTATAACTATGACTTTAATGAAAAGGTTACAGAGGAAAAGGGTTTGTCAAGAGAGGACCTCAAGTTCATGAAGATCATGGAAGAATCTGCAACAATGAAAGATGGACACTACTGTTTGAAGTTACCTTTTAAAAAGGATAACATAAAGATGCCAAACAATTTCTCCATAGTTAAACAAAGACTGCAAAGTCTAAAACGAAAACTTCTCAACAATGAACAGTTGCATAAAGAATATAAAAACTTTATGGACGAGATGATAAGTAACGGATATGCAGAGCAAATGCCTTCACAGCAGCTGGCTTGCGAAAATGGAAAGAAGTGGTACATTCCTCATCATGCAGTCTACCACCCCAGGAAAGGATCTATAAGAATTATACTTGACTGTGGGGCATCATTCCAGGAGACATCATTAAACAAGTAGCTCTTACAGGGTCCTAATTTCTCAAGCACATTGCTTGGGGTTTTGCTTAGATTTCGACAGGATTCAGTTGCATTTATGGTGACATAAAGGCAATGTTTTATCAAGTTAAAGTTGCCAAAGAAGACAGAGACTTTCTGCGTTTTTTGTGGTGGCCAGATGGAGATCTGAACTTCGCATGACTGTTCATCTGTTCGGTGCAGTATCTTCCCCAAGCTGTGCCAGTTTCGCTTTGAGAAAAACAGCTGAGGACAATCAAACTGAATTCCTAGACAAGGTATGTGAAACGGTAAAAGAAAACTTCTATGTGGATGACTGTTTGAAGAGTGTGGCCTTCACCTCAGATGGTCAAAGATCTTTCAGCACTTTGTCAAAGGGCAGGATTTACACTGACCAAGTGGGTCAGTAACAATCGCACCCTGTTGCAAAGTATCCCAGAGGAGCAAAGGGCTAAAGACTTAAAGGAATCAAATCTTAACAGAGAAAAAAAATTCCCGTAGAAAGAGCTCTGGGCTTGCAGTGGTGTGTGGAAACTGATACATTCAACTTTAAAATGGAAGTTCCTCAAAAATCCTGTACTAGACGTGGAATGTTGTCAATATCAAGCTCTATTTACGATCCTTTGGGATTTCTTGCACCAGTCCTGCTGCCTGCCAAAAGAATGCAGCAGGAGCTTTACAAAAGGAAATTGGGATGGGATGAACCAATACCCAAAAACATGTTGCAAAAGTG